GTGTTCTCGTTTGTCCTTTTTTCGTTTGGACAATACTGCTATAGTTCTTGTTGTTCGTAACTGGTCCAAAATTATGTACTTAATTGGAAAATGCTGCACCAGCTCTTCCTAATGAACCCAATAAAGATTCACTGTCTTCTGTTGATTTACTGACTTGAACTAATGTAACAATTAAGACATTGAAGATTAGAAAGCCAGTTGTGGTTATAGACAACAGTACCTCTTTCATGCTCGTGTGTCAGATTTAATCTTTGAGGCTTTCCAAGTTTGTGCATTTTTACCGAGTGATGTTGTTGTATCTTTTAAGAAATCACTGGTGTTGACTATATATCTTTTTTTTGGATTTTCATCAGCCATTTTGGAATATTTGAGAGCAGTGATTCTCCAGATGACCCCAAAAATATTATTAGTTATATACCAATAACCATACTCGTTACATAGATTTATATAGCCCTGCATTCATACAGTAGTTGATTTTGTAATCCTAATTCTATTTATAATCTTAACAGTATTGGTATTATATTTTTATATTTGTGCTAGCACCTTACATTTTAGTTAATCTTTCAGTACATAGTTTAGCCTGCTGACACCATGGGGAATTCTGGGAGTTGAAGTCCGGCCATCTTCAAGTTGATGAGGTTGAGAGACCTCTACTCTGCCACCCAGTTCCAACCCAGGAAGATATGGGTTGGTATTATTAGAGGCAGTATTATTAGCCTGGCTCCATCCTAGTGTTAATGCTTTTACAATAGGACAGAGCAGTTCTTGATCAACACTAGAACTGATCTTGGCTCAAGAAGCAATTCTGAGATGAGGTTGTGGCTGAACACTTGCCCTACAGATAAATGATAAATTTAATCTAAAAGGGGGCTAGGCATAAGAGCTGTGATGACTAGAACCACAAATTTGTCTGGCTTAAGTGGAGTCCTCCTTAAGTTCTACAGTGGTGTCCTTGTACAACAACCATTGATTTTTTACTCCCTTTAGAAGTCTCTCATTCCATTGCTTTACTGAAAGGAGGGCCTTCCACATAGGTGTGGCCTCTGTTTTAAGCCAGTGATCCCCATTAGCCCACCTAAAAGTGTTAGGAGATATGAGGAAGATCAGAAATCCATGGAGACAACGTATCTCTGAAAAACAACGTGAGACAGGCTTTGCCTTCCCACGTGGCTGTAGTGGCTCCATGACATCTTTTTGGGAATCAGGACGCTAATCTGGGTAGATCCTGGGTCAGATCCACCAAGTCTGGTGCTTCTATACTTCCTGAGCTAGCTGCTCTGACTCCTACGTCTGTTCATGCACTCTGTGTTTTTACATGCAGTCTTTGGGTATTTCTCTTAGGTCTGCCACAGTGATTGTATTGCATTAAGGAAAAGGGTAGCTTGGCCATCCTCGTAGGAGCCTGAGTGCCTCATCTCTAGTTTCATAGGAGACCGAGGAGGAACTACAGTTACGAAGTCTGTCTCCACAATGTTTCCAGTGTCACATCGTTGTTTATGAACACGGGCCTCGCACATTCCCTAGAAATCCCCCCTTAAGAGAGAGGATTGTGCATTTACACACACTGCCAGTGCCCCTCTGTGATCACCCGGCTTCTCAAGTGTTCTCGTTTGTCCTTTTTTCCCAATTTCTCTTGGTGGGAGGCGGGAACTCATTACAAAGCAGCACCTGAGCCGGTCACATGGCGTGGCACAAACATGCACTGCGGTGGCATTTCTCTACAAACCGGATAGTCTGGGGAGCGAGTTGCAATTCTCCAGAGGAGAGCTCTCTCCATCCCTTCGGTCTCCGAAGATCAGCTTAAATTTCCCTCCCACAAGAATTGAATAAAGCAGCGTAAATGAAACCCGATGTTGTTCAATTTTCTTTCCTCCCAGTGAGGTGCCCTTTTGTGTTTTAACAAGCATCTGGATGGATTTGCAGCTGTCGTTGTACTATAAGCGCTACTCTCAGTCTCTGGCAGGGGACAGGTGTCGAACGGTGGGGTTTTGCTGCCGATGGGTTTCATAGCACAGGTAAACATAGCCCTAGACAAAGGGCACACGCCGTGCTTGAGAGACGCTTTTCTGAGAATAAACATGTAACAGATGCAAAATACCCGTTCTTGCAATCCTTTTGCCTGATACTTTGCACTGTTGTTATTAATCATGTTCATGTTTTACTTCTAAGAGTTACTATTCCTCAATATATGTTTTCCAAAGTTGATGGACTGAACATCATGATTCCAGTGATCTTGACTGGAAGGGCAAATGAAAGGCAAGGCAAGAACCCCGAAGTGTAGCGTGAATTGGGGACTTGCAGGGATAGAGGTCACCTGTTGGAAGTGGTGTTCCAGTTGACCAATGCAAAGGATGTCAGGGATGTGTCCAGAACATGGTTCTCCAACCTCTGTGTTTCCATGTTCTCAGGGATGTCAGAACCATCCATCTTCATAGGAACCTGGAAGAAGAGAGGTGGATTGATCTAGGTTGGGCCATAAAGTAAATAAAAATGATACCTGCAAGATCAGAATTAAAACTGAATCCCATATTGCAGACTGGGGGTTAGAAGTGGATTCTGGGAAGGTTGAAGGCCGTTACTGGATGCGTTAGTCCTATGCACTCTTTGTGCACGTGGTCTCCATAGTGGTTCTTTTTCTACAGAGAGCCTCATGTTCTCTGAAGGATTCTGTGTGTTCAACTCTCCAAAGTAGATTGATCCACTTTTTCCACCTATGAAGAGGGGAGAAAGGGAGTTCTCCTCACATTTACATTAAAAAAAAAAAAAATCAAAGGAGCTCATCATTCTTGGTGAATGCAGGACAGACTAAAGTTCCTGAACGTAACAAAGGGTATCTTCAAACTAACATACCCTTTTGAAATTACGTTTTCCTCTTCTTTGACTCCTCTTTGGCCATGTTGATTTTCAAGCTGATGTGGTGGCTTCCAGTTCTGTTTCTTATGTTCTATCTTCTAAAAATACTTCATTATAATTATACTTCAGTGCAGCTTTCCCAGCCAAAAGCTGTGCAGATGTTGGGCTGCACCTCCCAAGGTCTCCAAATAGCACAGCCCGTAATCGGGCTGGGCCAGGCTGCTTTAGAATAAAGATGGGAGGATGTGTGAGAGCAGTCTTCTACTTTGGAGACCTTCCTACAAGGTTGACACCCGAAGAGGTTCTTGTACCAGTAGAGATACCTTTGTTGATTGTAAGCCACCCTTCTACCGATAGCTACAGGCTGCTAAAGAAACACTGCAGGCTATAAATTTCACTCTTTGGAAGCAGCACCCTCTGGTGGTCACGGTTTGGCCAAGGTTGTCTTGATTAAACCCAGATTAGAGGTTTTTCAGAACTGCTTTTAATATTAGGCTTAGCAACAGAGAGCCTTAATATCCCGCATTAGCACGACCCAACAATTGATCTCGTGGCAAAACAGCTTCTTATTTACGCTGTCCTATAAGGTTATCTGCAATCACCCAGCCAGCATGAATATTTTTCAGAGCAAAACGTGTATCTTCAGTGGAGTCTTTCAAGTAAAAGAAAATGATACTGCTTTTGGATGGATGAGTTTGAAAGATACTCTTTCTCTCAAAATAGGGGTTGCTTTTGTTCTGCTAACTGTTTTCTGGGCTGGTCTAAGATGAACGTTTCTTTCTCCCTCCCAGTGTCATCAGTCTTCAGGGGAAGACATGGAGATTTCTGATGACGAAATGAACGAATCTCCAAGCGCAGAATGTGCCAAAAACATTGTGGTGAATACCTCCATTAGCAACTCCGCTGTGATGGCTTCCTCGATTCCCATGCCTCCGCCTGGTTTTCCTCCTCTGCCTCCACCACCGCCTCCCCAGCCAGTCTTCCCAATGCCTCCCCCCCTCCCACCTCCGCCTCCACCAACTCACCCGGCAGTCACTGTCCCCCCTCCGCCTCTCCCCACCCCTCCTGGGGTCCCTCCTCCTCACATCTTGCCACCCCTCCCTCCGTTCCACCCTGGGATGTTTCCTCTTATGCAAGTAGATATGATCAGCGTCCTGGGCAACCAGTGGGGTGGCATGTCGATGTCTTTTCAAATGCAAACCCAGATGTTGAGCCGTCTGATGCAAGGGCAGAACACGTACCAATACCCCCCTTTCATGGGGAACCGGATGCAGTTTGTGAACCTCCCTCCCTACCGGCATTTCTCCATGGGAGCAGCTATGAACCGTGGGCAACAGTGGCCACCCTTGCCGAGATTTGATCCCTCAGTTCCCCCTCCAGGTTATGAGCCCAAGAAGGAGGATCCACACAAGGCCACAGTGGATGGCGTCCTGTTGGTGATTGTGAAGGAACTCAAAGCAATAATGAAAAGAGATTTGAACAAGAAGATGGTGGAGGTGGTGGCGTTCCGAGCCTTCGATGATTGGTGGGACAAGAAAGAACGTCTAGCCAAGGTAGGAGGGTCCTTCCACTGTCCTGTCGGCTGGTGTGGAAAGCGAATTAATGAGTGGTGGTTTTCTAGACCATCTACCTCCTTGTCTTCAGTGGCATGACTCAATATGAGGCGGTTCTTTTTATGTATTTGAATGCCCATGAAGTGTCAGCCTGTTTTCAAATGTGGATGTAATCTTAAGAGCGAATCAGTGCTTTAATAGCATTGGGTTAGGATGGCTTTCCACCGTTGATGACCGCAACTAGCCTTCCAGGTTCCTAGCTCTGCTGGGCTCTTATGGCTGTAGAGCATTAAACTGGGACCCATGTAACAAAGCTAACCTTCTTTGCAGCCATGAACATACTGTACAAAAATAAGATCAGACCAAGTGAAGATCTAGCAGTTACTCTGGGAATATCTACAGCAAAGAAGGTCAATGTACAGTCTGGGTGGGGTGGTTTAGGTTTCCAGAGTTCATTTGAGTTGAATTTCTCTAGTGAAATTTAAGCAAGAAAGCTCTCTTTTGTAATCTTGATGGATTCAGATCAGCTGACAATATAACACTGCACCTGTTCAGAGAAATACGAGATTAATACATACGAATGATGGAATAGAAAATGCTCCTTTGGCCCAAAAGTGAGATTTTGTCTGTCCTTCCCAGGCATCGCTTACACCAGTAAAATCTGGGGAAAATAAAGATGAGGAGAAGCCAAAACCAAAGGACCGCATCACATCGTGTCTTCTGGAGAACTGGAATAAAGGAGAAGGGTTGGGTTATGATGGGATCGGCTTGGGTATTGGGCTACGAGGAGCCATCCGGTTGCCATCTTTTAAGGTAAGAGCAGCCGTCAGCATTTGGTCCTTCATGACATTATTTTTTCCTTTCTTATCAGCTGTCTAAAGAATGGGAAGTTGGCTTTTGCTCTGATGTCCAGTGCAGACTTTCCCTTATGTTATGCCCTGAACTTTGCCCTTATGTTAGATTATATGACCTGTTCAAAGAATGACAGATTGCTTAGCTCTTATTGACAGTTAACAGGTGTGTTGGAATCAACAATGGTCTCTTCCCTTGGTTTAGAGAGAGGACCAGAGGATCAGAGGAGGGCAATTTGGGTATGTTGGAGCTACACATATGGCTGGAGAGTTCAGCTCCTTGAATCTGATAACTTTTGGTTATTAATTAGAAGTCCCATAACAGATTTAAGAACAGTATGATCAGGGTTTAAGCTGACGGTCATAGCCCAACTTTCTGATCCATGCATGTCCATTCCAATGTATTGAGATTACAGGACTGGATTCAGTGTTCTGTGGGCATTACTACCATTGGAGTAAAATGTAGAAGGAAAAAAAATACAGGAGAGCTATTTTCGTACCCTTATGTGGCCAGCTTCTTTTTTTAACTTTTGTGAACCTTCTGCCTTTGCCTTGATGAAGGCAAGACAATTTACTAATCTAAAACAAATAACATCTTTCCAAAAGAGATTTAATCCTCTATTTTCTTCAGGTGAAGAGAAAGGAACCACCTGAAGCTGCCTCAGCTGGAGACCAGAAGAGAATCCGGCCATCTACTTCTGTAGATGATGAAGATGAAGGTTGATAGGCTTTGTTTTCTCCTCTTCCAACACTTCAGATTAGATCTAGACTTAACTCATGATCAGAATAGAACCACTAGGATTCAAGTTTGTTATGGCTAGCTTAAACCCCACTGCTGTAAGTACCAAGTACTGTGACCAAGTAGTGAGTGTGTTTGGGCCCAATCCAATTGATCGCAAATAGTCAAATTCTCAGATCTTCAGAGCAATGAGCTTCCTTGACTATGATTCTGACAGCTGCACGTTCTTTTAACCTTTTTCTTTATTTTTACATTTTCACACCAGTTTGTCCAATGAATCAGGATCGCTTGATTAACCTGGCTAGGACTTGATGTTAAGATTGATCCTGTTTCATTTTGTGGTCAAGCTTGAAGTAAACTATTTGTATCACAGAAAGAATATGTTCTTCAACATTATAACTGGCTTAGTGCCGTTGCAATAAAAAGTGAAAGAGCTTTCAGTCTCATTAAAAATTTCGTTAAAGTTTAGAGGAGGAAAAGAAAAAATAATCCAGAACCTTGACGGGCCACATGTGAGCATTTACATAAGGATTTGACTCATGCAAGTAATCAAGAAGTTGTTGATCAATTCCCTATGAGGACATGGCGAAACCCATCTTCTTGATAATATCTTGAAAACATGCTCAGGAAGAGGAACTGGAAGTATTAAGCATGTATATAATCTCCCTAGATGAAAGGGAGGGGAAGCATTTCCACATAACATAAGCCCAAACTAGCAAACTGCATTCATGACTTAGTAGATTGTGTGAACCAGCACACGGTGCCCATTGTAACAGCTGGCAATTTGCTGGCACTACATACCCGCATGAATAATAGTGCCAAGTAGCTAGGGTTTTTTTCTGGCACAAGGTGCCTAAAATTGGCCAGATGTGCTTATCTATGTCTTATTCAGACCCAGTTTGACCATTTTTGCAAATGTTGGGGCTGACTCCCCCGCCCACTTCGTTTATTTTATACTTAGAATCTGAACGAGATCGAGACCTGCCTGATGCAACTTTGGAGCTCTCCAGGAAAGATCCCGAAGCTGTAAGCCCTAGAAGAAGGTCTGCGAGACCACTGGAGTTGGACAGTGAAGGAGAGGAGGAAGATTCGGGCAAAGAAGAAGAGGAAGAGGAGGAGGAGGGATCCTCTTCAGAGAAAGAGGCAGAGCCGGAGGAAGAGGAAGGGCTGATGAAATCAGTGTCCGACAAGGTACATCCCCTGAGTTGTCTTTGGTGTCCACGGTGACATAAATGATGAGGAACATCTTATTTCTGCAAGAATCAAGAGATTCTTAGAACCCGAAACCTAGCCTTGTAGGCTGTTCATAAAATGCTTTATCCACAGGAGTAGATTGCTAATTTTTCCCCATAACAAACTATCATGTAATTGATGTCACCGAAGGCTATCCCAGAGTGCTCAGTTGTGATCCAAAGTACCCAGGAAAAAGACAGGGTTCAAGAGGTTTACAGCCTGCAGCAACATCTCCTTACTTTGGGTTGTTTCTAGTGAAAATTGCAGGATTGAAGGATCTATTTATTTATATTCTTCTTTAACAAGAATGTATCCTGCCTTTGAGAATAACACCTTGCTATTTAGATGTACCATGTAGCTGATGCTTACGTTTTATCTAGGTTAGTTCTTCCCAACCTGATGCCCTTGAGATATGTTGGACCAGCTCCCATAATTTCATGTCTACCTGTTAAGATGGGTCACAGAGCATAAAAGTGAGGTTTCTTATAATATAAGCACTTGGCCACACGCTTTCCTTCACCATGTGCAAAAATGTGAGTATTTGCTGAACTTTCAAAATCCTTGTTTCCAAGGAAGAGGAAGATGTCAACGAAGAGGAGGAAGAAGAAGAGGAGGAGGAGGAGGAGGAGGAGGAAGACGAGACAGAAGCACAAATCAGTGAAAAGGAGGAGGAACAAGATTCTGAAGAAGGTATGCACCTTTATCAGCAGTTAAAGATGATACATTGATTCCAAAACCTAGTTTTCTCTTGTTGACTACCTGTCCTAAAATGCCAGCGTAAACTGTCTTTCATTGTAAGATTTAACAGAAATTAATGTAAGCCAATACCCAAAAACTAAATTTCTAGTCAATTCAAGAAACCTACATAGTTAGAACTACAAAGGAAGTCTTGGTTTTTCAGCGGAAAGCTCATGAGTCGTGAAAGAGTGAGAAGGAAGTTGGATGCCATGAACTATCTAGAATGGGGCTTGAAATAATGCACCGTTTGTTGTAATATTGTTGGATTGCTTAATATAAATGTAAGCCAGTGAGGCCATATGCACTTGTGATTTTCATTTTTAATAAATAAATTGGGGGGAGGGGAGGGCAGGAAATAGTAGGAGAGGTCTAAATGGAGAGGTCAAGACCAAGACAGGTCATTTAGAGAGGTCTAAATGGAGAGGTCAAGGCCCAGGCACCATTCTTACGAAGGGCAATGCCCAAAACCTGGATTGCTCACCCGGGGAAAAAAATTGCTAAAAGGTGATGACATTCCGAATGGAGGAGTAGCCAAAGGAACCATTCTCTTCCTTTCAAAATCATCAGATCTGCGGTTATCTAGTGAAATGGTCAGGTTCGTTTTAAAAAGGAAGGGCTTTCTATAAGACATTGTTTGGGAAGCTACAGTGGCTGCTGGCTTAAGTAGCTTCAGTAACATCCAGACAGCTTTTCTCTTTAGCGAGGATGTGTGGTAAAGAAGTAAAATTAGGTGGGAAACGAATAAACAGAAATGTCTGTTTCTCTGGTGCGTCCTGAACAAATAAGATCATAATGAAACATGAATGCTCTGCCTTCCAGCAGAAGATATAGGAAGTCCTGCCTCTTCCAGAGCAGAACTTGAGTCATCTGATGAAAGTGAGGAATCCTCAGAATTTGGGACAAGTTCTGATTCTGATGATGAAGAAGAAGAAGAAGAGGAGGAGGAGGAAGAGGAGGAGGAGGAGGAGGAAGAAGAAGAAGAAGAACAGGAGGAGGGTGAAAATTATGAGGAACAGATGGAGGATGAAGAAGGGGTCTCTTTATCACCAGAAAGGGAAACGTTGCCGGCTGAACTGGCTCTTGAGTCACTTGCTCAAGGACCTGAAAATGAGGATGAAAAAGAGACCATCCTGGAACTGTTTCCAGTGGAGGACTACATGCCATTAGCCCTGGCAGAACCTTTGGCCCCAGAAGGAGAGGAGCTGAAAGAAGGTATCAAGCCAGCAGAAGAGCAGAATCAGGAAATTCCTGAGGAATCCTTGGCTGCCGAAGTGCTGGTAGTGATTGAGAGAGCTCAGGAAGAGAAGCTCCAACTATCTCCAGTGTGTAGGACAGGTAGGGAGACACCCTCTACTATTTCGGTGATACTGTTTCCCAGTGGCTGAGTTCGTGGATCACGCTAAGACACAATGTGGCTTGTTTGGCTAAAGGTCTCTGTCAAGCCTATCTTCAGGCTACTTCTTGGTTTGTAACCCATAGGGTTTTTTAAGCGCGATCTGAAAAGAAATGCCAATTCTTAACATCCACATGTAACTCAAGACCCAACAATTAATTAATGATTGTGTGATGTTCCAGCGATGTCTTACATTTATTTACAGTTGTTCCTCAAGGTTCTATTTTTCAGTATTTAAAATAAAATACAACAAAGCTTTCGGTTCAGGTGCAAACATGCATTGTAATTTACAAGGAATGAATTTCAAGCTTCAAGGCACATGATTTCTAAGCTGTAGTAAAACCCAGTGGGTTCCAAAAGATTTTATTGCTTCTTCAAGAGAGCGTGCTCCAGTCTGCATTATAGGTATGTCATTTCTAAATCATAGTACTTCATGTTACAGTAGAAGAGAATCTCTGTAGCTCAGGGTTGGACTCTGGGGTTCTTGATGCTCTCTGAACTTGCAGATGTTTGCTTGCAGATGTTTCATTACTCAACTAGCTGGGTAATGAAACATCTGCAAGCAAACATCTGCAGGTTCAGAGAGCACCAGGAACTCCATATTTCATGTTACTTAGAAAAATTCAACCTGATAGGGTTATTTTGGGTTGGTTTGCATGGACGACAGTCCTGTTTCTCAGGCAAATGCTAAGTTCCTTTCATAACTACAATGCAGAATGTCCAAGGAGAACGTGCTGGTGATCAAATGCCTCTTTTTCTTTCCCTCTTCCAGTGGAGGAGTCTGAACCGGACATCGAACTGGAGCCTGAGATGCTGGATGGTCCAAAGCCAGACGCCCAGGATGGTGAAGGCCTCTGTCCTCCAACACCGGTGGAACTTTTTGGAGAAGTCTTGTCCAACAAGGCCTCCTTTTTTACTAAGCCTAATGACAGCACTTTAGAAATCCAAGCAAAAGGCAAATCGCCCTGCGTAGCTGAGGAAGAGGACCAGCTTCCTCGGACTCCTGGGAGGGAGGTTCTGACTCACGCAGAGTCCCCTGGACTTCCTTTCAGCGCCATGCCGCCCTGTTCGCTTCCCCTACCCTCAATGGTGCCCCATAAAGAGGAATTGCTACTCCTCCCGGACAAGTTCCCCGATCACTTAGCCCCAAGCAAACCAGCACTAGAGGAAGAGCTCCCCCGGACCCCGGGGCGGGACATTTTAGCCAAGTGTTCCCATAGTCTCTCCAAGTCCCAGAGCACAGACACGGTCCCAGCCACGCCCGGGAGCGATGCTCCTCTCACCGGAAGCAGCATGACTCTGAGTTCTCCTCCGGTGCCAGGCAGCCCTTTTTCATACCCGTCCCAGTCCCCTGGGATCAACAGCGGTGGCATTCCCCGGACTCCTGGGCGGGATTTCACTTTCACGCCAACGTTCCCCGAGCCTGGTGCTACTTCCCTTCCTTGCCTTTTGTCTAGCAAGAAGCCGTCTGAGGATGACCCTGACGAGAAAGTCTTTAAAGAACCTCTCGGTGCTTCCTTGTTGGCTGGCGTGAACAGTGTGCCCTCCCCGATTCCCTTTGCCAGCCCCCCTGTCCCAGCTTTTCACACACACATTGACTTGCCCCCCGGCCAGCCTCTCACGGTGCGGCCTTGCTTGTTCATGGACTCAAAGATGTCTCTAGAGGAGTGTGACACGGACACGAGGTCCGTCTTGCCCTTCCCGGACATACCGATGGCTTCGCCCCCTCTCCCTCCTCCCACTCCCTCCTCCCTCCTCCCCATCAAAAGGAAACCGGGTCGGCCGAAGCGAACTTCTCCTTTGGGACCCGTGTTGGAGGCTTATTCAGGCAAACCTGTGGAGCCGCCTCTTCTTCCGATCCCAGTTGCCTTGGCGGAAAGTCCTGTGAACAAAGAGTTATTCAGTAGCCATCCAGAGGGTTTCTACGCTCTGAAAGATCCGGAAGCGGTCACCTTGGACTTCCGGAACGACAGTTTCCACGAGAAAGTCCCCCCCGACGTCTTGGTTGAGAAGCTACCCTTTAAGGAGTTGGAGAACCAGTGGAACGACGACTTCAAAGAAGAAGAGGGTTACCTGAAAGCGAAAAGGCAGTGGAGGCGCCAGAAGAAGAGGCCAGATGACCTCCCGCCAATTCCTTCCCCCGAGTATTCTCCCCCTCGCTTCCAGTTTAGGCCCCGCTCCGAGTTTGAGGAGATGACCATTTTGTATGACATCTGGAACGGGGGGATAGATGAAGAGGATATCCATTTCCTCTGCGTTACGTACGATCATTTATTGCAGCAAGACAACGGCATGGACTGGCTCAACGATACTCTGTGGGTGTACCATCCTCATATCCTTTGCAGCTGCCAGACGCGACTCCTCAGCAATATCTGCTCTAACCACTAGATTAATTGGGCGCTGCTGGAACTGGCCCACGGTATCACAAGCGGGGACGCATAGAAATCTGTCACACAAACGTTTCCATGGAGCAGAACCGAATTCTGCTTCGTAACAAAACTGGCCGGAGAATGCCAGGAGAGGCAGAAGGCCTGGGTTTCCCCCTTTTTATCCTAAATTCTGCCAGGAGACGTTGTTTATTTTGATGGTATTAGTACGGAGCATATTTCTGAACCATTTCCTGTGCACAAGTACTTCAAATGGGAAATGCAGTACAAAAAGTAATCCAGTAGTCTAAAATCATGGATGGGGGAGGAGGAAAGGAGGCAAAAGCAGCAGTGTTTGAAGAGAGGGAACCTTCAGCAGATGCTCCCCCAGCAGCAGCATGCAAGATGGATGGCTGGATGGCGAGAGGGAGAGAGGGATGTTTCAGAGATATTTATAGATTTTGGGCCAGGAGGGTGTAGGTGTCACTGTGGAGAAGGCCCATCCACAGGTAACCACCAGATGGCACTGTGGGCTTAGGGGTAGATACCACCAAGTAGGTAGGTGGCACCATGTAGGTGCCACTGTAGAGAAGGCCCATCTACAAGTAGCCAGCCGGCACTCGGTGGCCTTGAGCACGTGCTGGAATCCCCCTTCACCACCCCTGCTGTTGGTTCATATTTTGGGGTGTGTTGAATGACAAGCACCGCTGGGTTTCCCCTTAACTCCGTGCTACCAACCAGCTTTTCCACCTCAAAGAAGAAGAAACGGGACGATGGGATGCGGGAACACGTCACTGGCTGTGCCCGAAGTGAAGGCTATTACAAAATCGACAAGAAGGACAAGCTGAAATACCTCAATAACAGTCGAGCGTTTGCAGAGGATCCTCCAACTGATACGCAGGTAAGGGGGCTGTGCTCGTGGGCTGGGAGGCTGGCCTTGCGGTGACCGGAAGGTTGGAATTTGGTGGGACTTCGGCAGGTGCTCTGAAGCAGGCTTGGCTTGAATGCTCTTTTGTGGAGGGGAGAAAAGAATGAATTCTACACAGATACATAATGCATAATAACTACTTAGAGAGTAAGATGTGGGTTGGTTGCAGATGTGTGTAATTAAAAGGGTTTGGAGATAATTCAGTGTGAGTTATATTGCACCTTTTGTTTGCAAGCTCTGAGCAGCATACAGAGTGCTCCTTCCTATTTTTCCCTACAACAGCTTTATGAGGTGGGCTGGGCTGAGTGGGAACGCCTGGCTCAGAGTCCCCCAGAGAGCTTCTGTGGCAGAGGGTCAGCTAGAGGCTGGGTCTCCCCCATCCCGGTTCAACACCTTAACTCCTCCACCACGTTATCTTGTCCAAAGTGTTTTAGAGCGGAAACGGGGACAGTTAAGACAAGGTTAAATAGTAACTCAAAAAACCAGGCTGAGCATTGCTGAGGGCGATGCCCCCTCAGCCTGGATGCAAAACCCACCTGCCCCTTTTTGTCTATAGGGAATGAGCATCCCTGCTCAGCTCCACGTTTCCACCCGGGCCGGCTCCGAGAGGAGGTCAGAACAGCGCAGGCTTCTGTCATCCTTTACTGGCAGTTGCGACAGTGACCTGCTCAAGTTCAACCAGCTCAAGGTGAGTTGTGTAACTCCTGCTCAGCAGACCGTTTGTCCCAAAGGAGGAAAGCTGGAGAGAAGCGTGACAGGAACACCACAGGGGAGGGTTAGATGGGGGCCGAGGTCCGGCTCGTACTGAGCAAAAAGAAAAGCCAAAACATACAAATCCTTCCCAGGCAGGGCAGGAAATGCAACTGCGAATGTTGTTTGCTGCTGTAGCCAAACAACGTACAGGTAGTCCTCGTTTAGTGACTGCCTGATTTAGCAACCATTTGCAGTTCCAACAGTGCTGAAAAAGCAACTTTGCAACCAGTCCTCACATTTACAACCGTCACAGGTCTGTAAAGCAAAGTCAGATCATAAGCATAGTCGCGGTTTCACTTAGCAACTGCTTTGCTTAATGACCGAGTAGCCAGTCCCAATTGTGGTCACTAAACGAGGACAACCTGTAGTAAGCATTTCCAAAAGCATCCTTGCCTCTACATTTTGAGGAGTAATTCTGCCTCAAATCTTGGTGCTCCTTGCATCACAAGCAGCAAACTTAGCACAAGCAGCAAACCTCTCCAGCATCGATCTCGTAGCAAACCGTCTTCTACCTCGGTCTCCCCTCTGCTCTGCAGTTCCGGAAGAAAAAGCTAAAATTCTGCAAGAGTCACATTCACGACTGGGGGCTCTTTGCAATGGAACCCATTGCTGCCGACGAGATGGTGATTGAGTACGTGGGCCAGAACATCCGACAGGTAAGCTGCCGAGCCCCCTCCTTGATGCTACAGGACCTCTCCTGTCCCTAGGGAAACTTACGAACTTAAGGAAGGCCTGCATCCCCTCCCCAGCTCCTAGTCCCCCCTCATTCTGAGCAAGTGGAATACCGCAGAAGTCTGATGATGTAACCTGAGCCCATGCTGGCTGTAATGTTCCTGCGTGCTACCCCTGTTTAAAACAAACGAGAATACCTTCCTGTTGAGAACATCTTCCTGCACATAGAAAACTAACACAAGGAGCAAGATTCAACCTGCTCCCTCCTGTAGGCAGTTGAGTTTTGTAATCCTTCAGTGGGGAGAAGCAGGCAGAATGCTAAATCAGGACCCCGTGCCAGCCCTCTTCCCCCCTCCTCCTGCTTCATTGATACCCCAGTCTTAGGCTTGGAAGCAGGAGGACCGTGGCTCAAATATTCCATCAGCCAGGAAGCCCACAAGCCATCTCTCTCTCAGTTTTGCTTGTGTTTTGCAACGCCATCCAGCTTGTTTATTTGTTGTAATGGAGGAGGAGGAGGAGGAGGAGGAGG